GAGATCCTCCTGCCTCTGCCTCTGCCTCCTTCCCAAGGGCTGGGATTAAAGGCATGTGCCTGCTGTACCCAGCCATAAATGGAAATTTTCAAAAAGGATAATTTATAATCCCTAATCCTTCCTTTCTAAATGTCATTTATTTAACCAGCGTTTATTACATCCTGACTATGCTCTGAGGCAGGCTCTGTGCTTAGGGACACGGGGCAAGAGCAGGGCTGAGGGGGACCTGGAGCACAGAGCGTGCTGTGGGTGGTAACTTCTGTACAGGTGAGCAGGTAGCCGAGGATTCCTGGTCTGCAGAATGGCATGATGGGGAAATTAAACCAACATTTAGAGTTTTTTAAACTTTATTATTGAATGTGTGCAGAGAGAGAGAGAGAGGGAGGGAGGGAGGGAGGGGAGAAAGGGAGGGAGGGAGGGGGAGAGGGGGAGAGAGAGAGAGAGAGAGAATGAAAATGAATACCACGGGGCTCCTGTGGAGATGTGGAGGACCGAGCACAGTCTTTGGAAGTCGGTTCTCATCTTCTTCCACCAAGGGTTTCAGGAATTGAACTAAGTCGGCGGTTGTGAACCTGCGAAGCTACCTTGCTGACCAATTCTTTTATTTATTTTTTTGTTTATTTGCTTTTAATACTGCCAAATTGTTTCATAAAAGCATTGCATTTGACTGAAGTAACTGATTTTTTTCCTATATTATCACCAGAACTGAGTTTCCTCATGCAGACAAAACAAAACCAAGCCAAACCTTGATAGCTTCATAGGCTTAAAATGCGGCCTCAGTATTGTTGCACTTGGCGTTTCTTTTTATTATTAGGGATGTCGAATGTTTCCTCGTTTTTAATTATTTATTGTCTCCTGTGAAAGGACTTTATTCATTTGGAGTCTTGGCTTTGTTATATACTTGTTACTACCCTTTAAAACAACTTATTGAGGCAACCTTTATGTAACATGGATTAACAATTATTATGTGAACAATACAATGGCATTTAATACAGCCATAGCACTGTGTCACCCAGACCTGTATTTAGTAAGGTTCCCATTTCTCCACGGGACCCGTAAGGAGTCTGAATGTTCCACCCTCTCCCTGTCCTCTGGTAACCAACTGTTAGTCTATCTGTATTCTGCTCTTATGGATTATGTATTAACTGTATGAGATGGAATCATGCAATGTTACTTTTTGTGTTTTTCTTTCACGTAGCCTAGTGAGATTTGTTTATTTTGTTTTTGTAGTAGTACAGTTACTATAGGCAAAAATTTACCCCTTTTTTAGACATAGAGACTTTGTTAGGGTCGGGGGGGGGGGTGTGTTTTTAGACCAAAGGAAAGACGTTACTCGTCTATCACAGTGATTGTCCATTGTCAAGGTAGCAGGAGGGCTGTCGACTTGAGTTTTGGATGCTTGTCCCTGGGGATAGTACTCTAATCTGATGGTTCAGTCTTTAGACTTTGACATCTGTACATATATGCTTAGTGGCTTCACTTATGGATAGAGTACTCAAAAATTATGCTGTACAGACGCAGAAAGTAAAGCATGACATTTACTTTTGAAGTAACTGTAAAGAAGATTGTGTATTAACTTTTTCATGAATGAGAACTTCCGAAGGACAGGTTCTCTGAGTTCACGGTCAAATTTATACCTGTCAATGTCATTCTGCTCCTACAACGGTGGCAGTTAAATACGTGCATATCAACCAGTTCAAAAGGAAAACGCAGAATTATTTGTAAATGTTAGCGACGTCATCACAGCTTGTGGTCACAGCACACTTCCTGAAACTCTTGAATTTTTTCGAGAAATGACTATATGCGTGCCATACTCAGGCTTACATGTGTCGATTATTTGGTACCAGGTATAAGACCTTCCTCTTGTCACTGAGCCTTGCCTCTCCGTCTCCTTCCTCGTCTCTTCAGGCCGCAGTGTGCCATGACAGCCTCCATTAGATGGCAAGGGACGAGAGTCCCCAGATCGAGGTGGACAGCGCACACAGGTGCTCTGGACACACAGCTGTGTGGAGGTCAAGAGGCGTTCTTTAGGTGGTGGGCGTAGACACGGTCTCTTTCTTTGGCACGAGAACTTTTGATATGGTATATAATCCCTTTATCAAAAGAAAAATGTTATTTTCCTGGGCATAAGGCATACCTTATGACATAAGGCAGATTTTGAGAACAAATCGAACAGCGTGATTTTTTAAAACTCAAATTGAGTCCAGACTTCCTCTGTGATTATACAGTAAGCTCGGCAAATGGTTGCATTTGAACACATTGCTTTTAACATCTTTGAGATTCCTTTAACTTAACACAGTTTTACTGTTCACCGGGCCCTATACTGTCTAGCTGTCTTAGTTAGGGTTCTGTTGCTATAATTTAAAATACGAAGAGCAAAATTAGTCGGGGAGGAAAGAGTTTATTTCAGTTTCCATTTTTTCCCCCTTCAAGGAGAATCACAGTCCTCCATGAAGGGAAGCCAGGGCCAGAACGGAACCTGGAACAGGGGCTGATGCAGAGGCCGAGGAGGAGTCTCGCTTACTGGCTTGCTTCTCCTGGCCGGCTCAGCCTGCTTTCTTACACTCCCAGGGTCCCCAGCCCAGCCGTGGGGTGGGCCTTCCCATATCAATCATCTGTTAAGAAAATGGACCACAGGCTTGCTGCCAATCCGGCTGGTACATTTTCTCAATTGATACTCCCTCTTCCCAAATGACTCCAGCTTGTTTCAAGTTGGCATAAAACTAACCAACACACTAGCCCTTGTTTAAATTTTACTTTCCCCCCCCGATGTCCTTTTTGGGGAAAATAAATAAAAATAAAAATAAATCAGAGACTGGGGCTCTTGCAGTAAGTAACTTGCCCCTGGTAGTATAATGAGTTTGTTTCAGGACAAGGATTTGGACCCGGATCTCTTTGGTGCCATATTTTAAGCTCTTAAACTTCTAGATGAGAGGCTCCTAAACTTTAGCATGCAGTAGAAATCCCTGAGCGAAATCCCCAGAGAGTTGCTAGGACCCAGAGTTTGTAGATCTACCACAGAATCCAAGATGTGTGTTTCTGTTGATTGTGCTGGTCCTGGGGGCAGTGTTCAATAGCTTGATGATTCGGAACACAATTCAGTGCCACTTAGGAGCAAATGGGAGAATTCATGCCAGCTTGTGTCCATACCCACTTACGATAGTCTGGATACCGCTCCTGTATAGTCCTTTCTGTCCTCACATGAATCTTAGGGGAGGTAGTTAGTTTCAGGAAGGGTGTGTGGAGACAGGGTGATTACCACCTTTAGAGAGAAGTCAAGGAGAGAGAGAGGCCCGGTTAGGAAAGCTCTCGGCATGGCTGTGTTAGAGCTGGTTACCCTCAGTATTGATTTCTGTGGGCCTCAGAGGCCAGTGCTCTCGAAGCCATTTCCAGATTTCATGCCACAGTAAGGCTGAGTGAAAAAGGTGTCGGGGCTTTGTGTCCGTGAGGGGCTGTTGGGAATTCTCATGCCATTTCCCCAGCTTTCTGAGGCATAGATGAAGAGCTTTGCTGTTCTGATAGATGAACTGATGGGGGAAATCATCTGTCTGAGGTTTTGCTTCCCCTCAGCATGGGGAGAAGGGACCCTGACTGATTTCATATGGAAGAGCCATGCCAATGCCGTGAAGTCATACTCAGTCAGAAGACTTGGTGACCGATGGTGGCTTTCCCGCAGCAGGGCGGTCCCAAACTGCAACCACAACCTGCCATGGCTGCTTCGGCAAAATGAGGGCTGTGAGGGCAAAGGTCAATCTGGAATTGTCTAAACCCCGATCCTGCGGAAAGAAGACTATATAATCTCCCCCATCAGCTTTAAAGAGAGAGGCAATAAGGCAGAGCTAGTCTTAAAGAGATTATGTCTTGAGAAAGTCCTCTTGAGAGAAAAGCGTAAGGCCGTTTTGAAAGGTGACACCATGTTGGCACATGTCTGAATACCGGATGTGCCTGGTTCCGTCAGATGTGTGTCCTCCCTCTCTGGAAGACCTTACAGCAGATGTCACAGTTAGACATTTAAATCAGTCAGACCATCCGAGTCTGAAATGGGAGTAGCCTGAGATGTATGTACAAAGAGAGAGGTCACCACACACACATACACACACACACACACTCACTCACTGTGGTGTGAGTGTGTGTTTGCATGCCGGCATGTGTGTGAAGTGTGCATGTACTTATGTGTACACGTGTGTAGAGGCCAGAGGTCTTTCTCGCTTGTTTTCCATTTAATTAACTGAGCAAGGACTCTTGTTGAACCTGGACCTCGTCTATCCCATGGTCCAGCCAGCCAGCTTTCCAGGGGAGTCCCTCCCTCCCCTGCGCTGGATTACAGGTGGTCTGCTCCCTCCTCAGTTTCCATGTGGGTGCTGGGGATCTGAACCTCACCAGTGTTTTGTCCACGGACCATCCCCCCCAGCCTCTTGTTGCGTATTTTTGTTTCAGAAGTGCTGATATCATTTCTAGAATGATAGCGTTTGGATCCTGGGGCAGCTTTTATTTCTGTTGGCATATCTGCGTTGCTCCAGTGTTCCCTCCAGATTCCAGTTCCCCTCACGCTCAGCTTGGGATCATGTGACTGAAGATGGCCTGCTTCACCTGTAGAGATTTATCTTCTAGTTTTAGGAATGATCTGCTCTACATTTTTGAATATTTGCTTCTTTTATTTTGTTTTTGAAGAAAAATGAGACAGTCCAGAGGTTAAAAAGCATTTGTAGCTCTTCCAGAGATCCAGAGTTCGGTTCCCAGCACCCATGTCATTTGGTTCACAACTGTCTGTAACTCAGCTCCAGGGCAACTTACCTCCACACTCACTCGAATGCTCCTGCACACGTACACAAATAAGATTTGGAAATAAATTTTAGATGCAATAATGCAAATTCTAGGGACAATTGAGAACTCGACGAAAATGCAACCTGGACGCTTAATTCGCAGTTGGAATTAACGTGTGCTCTGACGTGTCTGGTTTGATGGACACCTTACAGTGTGTTTCTTCCTGTTCGTTGTAGGTTAACGAAGCCCTTGTCCTTCGCTGATTGTGTCGGGGATGAGCTGCCATGGGGATGGGAAGCAGGGTTTGACCCCCAGATTGGTGCCTACTACATCGATCACATCAACAGTAAGTTTTCATTTTAGTGAAATAAAGTATATCAAAAAACAAACCTCCAAAAACCTGCATCACTCATACAGAACACTGAATGTTTTACAAAGTCAGTTGCCTTACTTTAAACTGCTGTTTTTTTTCTAATGACTAGTATTCAACTCCAGTGACTACTTAAGTACCTGGGTCATATATAAAGAACTTTTCTTATGGAGACAGAGGATGAGGATGTCTGGGCAGTCTGTTGGGCAGGCAATGGTTTATAATCCAGTATAGGTTAAGGGGGCTGTGGTCTACAGCCACAGGGTGCCTCTATCTATGACCCTTCTCCTCTGATTGGAATTCTCTTATGCTTGTCCCAGGAAGAGTAGAGCAAAGTCCAAGCTGGTGTGGCCTGGTGGCTGGGAAGGGGTGGACACTCATCTGGACGTCAGCATAGCTGTGTGGAAGTGACCCAAACCCCTGGCCTTCTGGCTTGCTGAGGAGGAACTCTTGCCTTTAAGTCTGCCAGGGTGCTGCCAAGGCAGAGAATTGTCATGGCCATGAACTTTTTACAAAGACATTTATTTTTATTTTTTAATAATGTGCCTGTGCATGTGAGTGCAGGTGCCTGTGGGGTTCAGAAGAGAGCCTCAGATTCCCTGAACCGCTCGAGCTGGAGTTACAGGCAGTCGTGAGCCATCTGATACGGATGCTGGGGGCCAGAATTCGGTCCTCTTCAAGCGCACTGTGTGCTCTTAGCCGCTGGGCTTTCTTTCTAGTCCCCAACCCTATACTTCTAAAACAACATACTTGGGGGCTGGAGAGGTGGCTCAGAGGTTAAGAGCACTGAATGCTCTTCCAGAGGTACTGAGTTCAATTCCCAGCAACCACATGGCAGCTAACAACCGTCTGTAACTCCAGTTCCATGGCAAAACACCAAAGCACAGGAGGGGAAAAATAACTACATTCTTGGAGGTTTTTTTTATTCATTTGTGTGGACGTAAGTGCATGTTTACATGAATATTTATGTCTCTATTGAGCCCTTTAAAAGTTTATTCCAATTGTAATACACAGAAGTCAGGATGATTCACTTTATTTCACTTAAAACTATTTTATAGACCTGAGGGAGTCCATAGTTAATTGATTGCCTATAATTGTAATACACAGAAGTCAGGATGATTCACTTTATTTTACTTAAAATTATTTTATAGACTTCAGGGAATCCATAGTTAATTGATTGCCTATTATCTTATTTTTCTTAAATCAGTTCTTACATCAAAAGATTTACAGACAGTGCTCTTTGATATCCTTAGGAATTATATCTCTATAGAATATATCACTTAATGCCCACCAGTGATGGTTTATAGCTGCCCTATGTAGGTATGTAATAAATTAAAAATTATTTATCATATTTTATGTGTGTGGAAGTTTTGCCTGTATGTATGTATGTGTACCATATGTGTGCTGGTGGCCACAGTGGTCAGAAGAAGGCATCTAGTTCTCTGGAACGGAAGCTGTAGGGGTTACCATGTGGGTACTAGGGACCCACAGTGGGTCTTCTGCATGCTCTTAAATGCTAGGCCAATTTCTTTGAGAGGCCAGATAGCTTAATATAAGTGAATTCTTACAGAGAGGTGAGATTCAGGAGCAGAAAGAGCAGATACATTAATGTACCAAGTCAGTTTTCCAAAGAGCACAGCGTGTGTGTGTGTGTGTGTGTGTGTGTGTGTGTGTGTGTGTGTGTATGTGTGTGTTACTGAGAACTCAGCACCTTGTGAGTGCTAAAACTTTGTGCTTTGTTAAAGTTAACTTTTAATTTATGGGGTCTTGAAGTTTTACTTGTTTATTTTTAAGTAAATGTTACGTGTGTGGGTATTTTGTCTGCACGGGTATCTGCACCTCTTGAGTGCCTGGTGCCCAAGGAGGCCAGAAGAGGGTATTGGAGCCTCCGGAACTGGAGTTCCAGATGATTGTGAGTAGCTTTATGGGTCCAGGACTCAAACTGGGTCCTTTGAAGGAGCAACCAGTGCTCATAACCACTGAGTTATCACTCCACCCCAACTTTGTGTTTTTCAAATAAGATTTTCTTGTATTATATTAGTATTAGTATTATAAACAGTTATAATAATATCTATCGCCTGCCTCCATCTAATGTACAGTTATGGTTTATCAGTGGTTAACCATCAAAAGCCGTGCTCTTTAAGAGTGGCAAGGATGAATTTTAGTAAAATTAAGTTCATTTTAAACAGTAGGGTACGTCCTTACATAACTGCAAATACACAATTCACTGGAATATCTGAAAAAGCTATTTAACTTTGTAATACTTTAGATGGATAAAATTAGCCTTCTTCCCATCAAGTAAGATTTGGGAAACCAAAAGCCAACCAGTTGTACAGGTTCAACAAAAATAAGCTGTCATGGTAACCAAGTGGGAACTTGACCTGCCCCAGCTGCCCTTCACCCACCACAGCCCTTTGCTGTGGAAGCCTCCTACAAAGCTATCTTTTCTTTCTTTTTCTGGACCTCACTCTGCCCATGGGTACTGTTTAACGTCTTCTCCATCTAATCCTTCTCTCCTGTTCAGTATCTTTGCCATTTTGTACTGATTTTCAAAGTTTCTTCTAGCGCGCCTGCGCGTGAGTTTGAGACATAGTCTTATGTAATTTCATGCTGGCTTGGAACTTGTTTTTTAGACCATGCTGGCCTCAAAGTCACAGACATATGTCTGCCTCTTTAGGATTAAAAGCACTGGCCACCGCACCCAGCCCTTCAGTGTTTACTTTATATTTTTCTGTCTTAATATATAAATACTGGAAACTCTCAAAATGACTAAACCCAAACTACAAATGAAGAAGCAAGTAACGAATTTCTCCTCAAACCTATCCCTTCCAGATGTGTCCAGCCTCTGCCTGCTCACATGCACCCCAGGAGAGCTATGAATGAAGCCCAGCCCAAAATTATTACTTACATAGACATTGCGTTTTTGTGCATGTGACTTGTTTTGTGTGTTTCTTGGGTGCAAATCTTGTAGATGCTAATGTTGTGTGTCAGCATGTCAAAAGATTTGACATGCATGTATCCCTTACTGGATGCAGTCCTCTTCGTAGCCAGACTCCCTGCAAGCCATGGCCTCAGGGAACTTCACCTCTTTCACCGTTTCCCATCATTTCCCAGAGTCCACTCTTGCTGAGGCCGTCGGAGACACCACAGGATGGTGACAGCTAGGCACCGCTGGAATGCTGACTGCTTTGGTGTGTCACCATGGGTCATTCCTTTTTCCTGGCTTCTCTGGATTGCGTGGGATCTTTCTCCGAGAGGTCCATTTTCAATACCAACCATACCATTCTAGAATTGGTGTGTTCGGATGCCTCTGTTCCCAAGAGGTTTCGTAGGGCCCTCTCCCATGGATTAAGTGCCGCAGCCCATTCGTTTCTGTAGTTCTTGGTACACAGGAAAATTTAAATCATTGGCATCTTGTACTTGGATTTGTTTACACTTTGATTCTTCACCTTTGTGAGCCTCATGGAGGCAGTAACCGCATCTTACACATTCATCCTTGGATTCCTGTCTAACGGTAAACTCAGGAAGGGAGACCTGTGTTAATGGAATTCACACAGGAAAAGCTGACTTTTTTCTGAAGGAAGGATTTGAAGTACGTTTCGAGCATATGTTATACTTCAGGAAGCAACATTCTGAATATATAAAACCTTGATTATCAGAGCATGAATTTCTAAGCCCACCACCACTTTGCTTTATTATATAATTGTGGCTTCGCGGCCTGATGGATTTACTGTGCCTCGAAGGACCCGAGTGAGCAACAAGTAGTCTCCTTACTGAGAAGGAGCTGCTTGCTATCTCATTAATCTTTGAGACATTCCTGCAAAGTAGTTTATCGGGAGCAAATGGTATTATCTCTTCTTAGCAGCTGCTCCACACATATGTTGTGTTTTGACATTGTATAGTTTCAGCATTATTTCCTCTTACTTGGATAAAAAAAATGCAACAGTGAAAGTTTGGTTGCTTAATAGTATTGCTGCAAAACCCTCTTAAATATTAGCGGTGAAGGATTTGACCTTAACAGTGAAAGTAGCCTTGGGGCATGTTTCATGTTTGCGTTCTACAGAGGTGGGTGTACGGCTGCCCGCCGTAAGAACAGGCTATTTGTGCTTACCTAGAAAGCGAGTGTAATGTCTGTGAAGTGTTGATATGACAACCAGGAGGGAGTCACTCTTAAAAGATTTAGTTGTGTGTGTGTGTGTGTGTGTGTGTGTGTGTGTGTGTGTGTGTGTGTGTGTTCGTGAGCCTGCGTGAGTTTATGTGCATCGTGTGTGCGCAGAAGCCCGGGGAGTCAAGAAGAGGGCACGGGATCCCCTGGAACTGGAGTTACAGGAGGTTTGTGGTGCCGTGTGGGTGCTGGGACCACACGGGTCCTCTGCAAAGCACAGTGAGTTAGCGCTAATCCCTGGGCCGGCTCCCCGGCCCCAGGAGAACACTTGCCATAGCTCAGCGCTGCCGTGACTTTTCTTGTAGTGATGGAAGTGTTGTCAACACACAACTGTGCAGACACTACATAGTTTCTCAGTGAACTTTGACCAACGTGTGGTGAATTTGGTCACCTCTGTAGCTCTCAGCCCAAGCAACACAGAATGTTTCTGTCTTCCAGTCAGCCCTTCCTTGACGCTGCATTGTTCAGATTTGCACCAGCACAGCTTAAACTGTAGAACTCACTGTAACAGGCTGCCGTGGGATGGTTTAAGATGCGAGAACTCACTGTGTAGCCCAGGCTGCCCTGCTTGCTCTGTAGCTCAGGCTGGCCTCAAACTCACAGACCTCCTCCTTCCTCCGTGTACCACCTTGCCTAACTAGAAGTAGATTCTTTTATTTGACATGTTTTTTAAAAAAAAAAAAAAACAAAGCCGGGCGGTGGTGGCGCACGCCTTTAATCCCAGCACTTGGGAGGCAGAGCCAGGCGGATCTCTGTGAGTTCGAGGCCAGCCTGGACTACCAAGTGAGTTCCAGGAAAGGCGCAAAGCTAC